ATTTCACCGTCGTTTGTTTCGTTTTAACCGTGGGAGGCTCACGCGTCAGAGGAAGCTCCGGCACTTGACGGATGACGATGTTTTGGGTGAACGTCGTCCGTCTACGTCTTCTTCTTCCGCCGTCGATGTTGGGTTAACTCGTTCTCCAAGCGCTTTCACGGTCGGTCCTCGTTCTCCTTCTGCTGTTCCGTTACCGTTACCTCTTCCGTTACCTGAAATCGCCGGAGATTCGAGGAATCGAAATGCCGGAAACGGTAGAGGATTAGAGGGGAGAGATCGAGATCCCGATAGGGTTATTGCTGATCGCACCTCCTCTGGTCCTCCTCTCACCAGGTACAGATTTTTGTCAATTAGGGTTTGTAGATTTGATCCTAATTTGGCATAAATCACGATGCTTTCCATTTTTGGCTCAAATGTGTTGATTAGCTTCTTTGATCTCTTTAACGTTGTAATCAGCGTCAATGGATTTGCTCGTGACTCGAGAAGAGCTACGGAGAATTCTCCATATCAAGATTATAGCTGTACAAATAGTCCGAGGAACAGAAATAGTTATTGGGTGAACATTCCAACTATGAGTGCTCCAACGAGTCCATACATGAGTCCTGTGCCTAGTCCACAAAGGAAGAGCACTGGCCAAGATTTACCTTTTTTCTATTTGCCTCCAAAAAGCAATCAAGCATGGTCAGCACCAGATATGCCACTTGATACCTCATTACTTCCTCCTCCTGCTTATTACGACATCACTGCGTTTAGTACGGATAACTCTCCTATCCATAGCCCGCAACCTCGAAGTCCACGCAACAGACCGGTCAAAAGCCCACAACCGACCAGACCGTCTTCACCGTTGCATTCGATACTATCGCCTGATCAGTCGGCTGCACCACGGGATAGTGTTTCCTCACCTTTGCATCCGAGGCCAGACTGTCCGAGGCTGTCCACTGATGTTACGAATGGACGCCGTGATAACTCTAATGTTCATCCTTTGCCTCTCCCTCCTGGAGCTGCTTGTCCTTCTTCAGCAGCTGCTGCTTCTGTTCCTTGTCCGCAGGCTCCTCTTAAAGTGGATTCGTTCCCGATGAATTCTCAGTGGAAGAAAGGGAAGCTAATAGGTCGTGGTACATTTGGAAGCGTTTATGTCGCCAGTAACAGGTAATCTATTCTCTCATTGTATGTATCCTCATTGTTGAGTGCCAACAATGCTCTGTTTTTAATGCATCCTGACTTGTTTTTCATTTGCAGCGAAACTGGAGCGTTATGTGCGATGAAGGAAGTTGAGTTATATCCTGATGACCCGAAATCTGCAGAGTCCATAAAACAATTAGAGCAGGTAAGCTTTAGGACACACAATGCTTACAATTAGTCTAAGAATGACCGGCCTGTGTTTGGTTGTTCGTTATCTCATAACCTTGGTTCTGTTTCAGGAGATCAGACTTCTCAGTAACCTTCAACATCCAAACATTGTGCAGTATTTTGGTAGTGAGATAGTGAG